TAATGTGTGTACAATAAATATTAATTATCTCATACCACATATGAAGAAAATTACTCTAATTAATGATTTTAATTGTTCTTTAAAATGCATTATTATTATTATTATTATTATTATTATTATTATTATTATTATTATTATTATACCTTAAACGTCTAGCCCAAAATTATGGGCGTTACATTATATGAAGATTCTGGAGGGTTTTTTGAGGAAAGTAGAAAGACGGGTCTGCAGGATATGAAAGTCCTTGTATGGTTTACGTCAGGCTTCATGCAATTGGTATCAAAAGTTTACTTTGGCACTTAAAAGCTTAGGGTTTGAGCAAACACATGTTGATGCTTTCTTGTTCATCTTTAAGAGTAGTGATGTCTTTATTACTGTTTGGAAGTAACAAGGACGTCTGAAGGAGTTGTCCTTAGTCAACGTAAATATACCCTTTACATTTTGGAAGATAGTGGTTTGCAGGGTTGCCGTCCAAGCTTATTCCCAATGGAACAAAATTTATGGTTAGATCAAAGTTTTGATAATCCCAAGGTTGATGCGAGTCAGTATCTTCGTCTTGTTGGTAGGCTACATTATGTTCAAGCCACTTGACTGGACATTGCATATCCAATCAATATTCTTAGTCATTTTGTATCATATTCACGTCAACCTCATATGGATGCAACGGTTTGGGTTCTACATTATTTGAAAGTTACTCTAGGACATGGAATTTTAATTCCAAAGGAAGGAGGACTTAGCCTTATGGCTTACTATGATGCTAACTCTGTGTGTGCATACTCATGACGGTTTGGTACATGTTATTTGTTTCTTTTTGGTGGACCGCCCATTCTTGGAAGACCAAGAAATAAACAGTTATGTCAAGATCTTTAGCAGAGGCAGAGTACCAGGCAATGACGACCACTATTAGAGAGGTTTTATGAGTTTGTTGGTTATTAAAGAAACTTCAGGCACCTGGCTCCACACCTTTTTTGTGTGACAATTAGGTTGCTAGACATATTGCAAATAATCTAGTTTTTCATGAAAGGACCAAACATGTTGAGATGGACTATTACTTTGTTTGTGAATGGGTTAAGTCATAAGTAATAAAGCCTTACTATTCTGATACAAAGGCTCAGGTGACTGACATGTTTACTAAGGCGTTAGGTGCGCATCGATTACGCAAGCCACATGACAAGTTGGGCACTCGAGATTTGCATGCTCCAACTTGAGGGGGAGTATTGGATTCTATCATTGTATCTTGTTTAGTTTATTCCCAGTTTATCCCTTGTGTTTTAATATTTATCCTTTAGTCTTGCTAGTTGTCATATTTTTTAATATTGTTATCTGGTTTGCTAAACCTATTTAGACTTAGCTTGCTTCATGAAAGATAAAGTTTTCGATCCATAACAATTTTTAGTGGGCTACTTTTTGTCAGAGATGTGGGCCTGGAGAAAAAAAGTTGCGAGTGGTTGGTTGACTTGCTGAACAAAGCAAGCACCTTCACCACTGAAGATCTCACCGAAGACGAACTGCGACTGCCATGTGGGCTGCTTTTTCCCGGAGATAGAATTGTGAAAGTAAAAGAAAACAAAACATGTTTAATGGAGATGGTGAAGCAACAAACATCGGAAAAACAACCGTCGGAAAAATCAGAGGGGCTACAAGAAAGAAGACCACGACGATGATGGTAGAAATGAAAAATGTGAAGAACTGATATATCTATCGTGTAAAGGATGAAGAACCCGTGGATACATAGATATGTGTCAATGAAATGTGTATTTGCTTTAATTAATTGACTGGTTGATTAATTAATAATGTTATAATATGGTAAAATAATATTACAAGAAATATTAATGACAAATTGGTAATTTTAGCATTGTATTCTGTCGTGTACAATTCCTACCAAACGATATACCATCAATCTAGTTCTGTCCGGTCCAGTTATCTTCGACCTAGTCCTTGTACCAAATGCTACCTAAACAAGCAATTACCGTGATGTTTGAAATAAAAGTCAATTTTCATGTAGTGCTTAAATCATATTAATTTTTAACTTTAAACTATATAGTATTATAATTTTATTGATAACTCATTAATTTTCAATATAATATACTTAATATATTAAATTAAATTGATGTAAAATCTTATCTTTTTAATGTTACCGATTAAAAACTATTAATATAAAGAAAATTAGCAAAAAAAAAAAGATTGACAAAAAATCTTCAATTTTCAGGTCGCGCCAAATTTGAATGGCTCCCGTTGTCCTAGCAGAATAATTTATGCGTCTCTTTGAGAACATCTCCATCAGTAGTTGGACTGTTTTTCCTTTGAGTTTTTAGGTTGTTGTATAACTCATTAATCATTGTAATTGTCTTGTTCATATTCTGAAACTGTGTTGTCAATTGGTGCTTGGAATAGTAGTCACATTGACTCATTTCTGCAAAAAATGTTCGATAATGCGTAGCAAAAAATGATCAGCCGCTTGTACATTTCCGACCCACGCATCATCGTATATGTTAACCCTTGAATGGCCAACACAAATTCTTTCCTCGAAGACCATATTTAAGGGGTTTCCTTTCATTTTTCTTTGTTGTCAGGTGGGAGTTGGGTCATGTAGATCTTTTAAGGTGACGAGTTGTGTTATCGGTATGAACTCAACTTCCGGTGTGAGAGAGAGGGTTAGGTTTGCGGCTCGTGAGGGGTTGGGTTTGCAAAACATAACCGGGAAAAGTTGAGAAGTTGGCGAACATGTTATGGGTAATAGTGGGCATATGCATATGATAATATTGTTGAACATTTTGAAATTGTGTGGGGTGAATATATAGGGGAGTCTAGTTGAGGTTGGTAAGCCGGTATCCACAGGTCTAAAATGTAAGATAAGAGATTAATTGATAAATAGTGAGGGTTAAACCTCAAATAAATAAGGATAGATAATTGGCCTAACCTAAACCCTAAAAGGCTTGGGCATAAACCCTAATTAGTAACATCCCCCTCCCCCGACAGTTTGATTGGGATGCGATGATTAAACTGGAAAAAAACTTAAGAAAAGAAAAACAAAAAAAAACATAGATGTAAACAATGGCAACGACGATGGCAGAGCACTGACGATGACGACTGCACGTCGGAGAATAAGAGAGAAGAAGTGGCGCCAATAGGTGGTTTCGTTGTACAAGAAGAGGAGAGTCGGCGGTGGCGGTGATTGAGGAATCCAAAGAAAGGTAGTGAGAAGAAAGAGAGCTCGAGCTGCGGTGAGCGGAGCCAATTCCGTCGACTGCAGTGTTGATAGAGAGAAAAATAGATATGACTGCAGATCAGAGACTGCCCAACGGTGAAGGTGCCGTCGGAGGGAGACAACAACATAAAAAGATGTGTCATTCGAGGAGGAGGCAGTAGAAGAAGCCAATGAAGGAGCTTTGATTTGGGGTCGACGGTTGTAATATTATTTAGGAGAAGAAAGACATAATGGGAAAATATTAAACCTAATTAAGACACCTCCAACGACTATTAGAGAAGGTCGAACGAAGGTGGAAGGCGACGTCTGTGAGTTGTGATCAGCAATAGGTTTTAACCTAGAGCTCTGATATCATGTAAAATAATAGATTGATTGATAAATAGTGAATGTTAAACCTTATATAAATATGGATACATCACTGGCCTAACCTAAACCCTAAATATGTTGGCCCTAAATCCTAATCACTAACATAAAAGAAAGAAAAAAAAATGTTTCTAATAAGCACAAAATTTTTTTCGGTTTATTTTTTAGTGAAGTTGTTGGAATCTGTTTTGATAACTTTTGGATAGAATGATAGAAATGTAATAGAAGGTTGTATGAGATTCCAGGTTAAGGGGTTAGTATTTATAGAATGGTAAAAAAATATATTTTAAAGAAAAATTAAATTTTAAGAAAATGTCCGTTGAAGAAGTAACAACAAACATACAATACCGCATGACACTAACCGCACCATGCTTTTTATCCAAACCCACATGTCATTTGTTGGTATTGCATGCTAGATATGATTTTATCAATCTTATTATACATTGGAATCTACTATTTCTTTGAATGACTCTTAAAGTGCACGACTATACGATCTACATATCTGAATAACATCTCTCAATAGAATTTTGAAACAGAACATAAGTATAAGTTTTTTTTTTTTTTGAACGGCAAAGCATCATATATTAGCATAAAAAAGGACTTAAGCGATAAACTCAAGTCAGGAAACAAATAGTTCAAAGTTGGAGACATACACCAAACAAACCAATCTAAATTACAAAACTTGGATCTAGATTTAATCCAATTGAAAGTGCTAATACTAATATCATCTGCAACCACCATGACCGCTCGCATTTCGTTTCTAAACATCAAAGCATTACGTGACTTCCAAATCATCCAAATAGTGGTGTAAATGAGAGACATAGTTATATTTTTTTAGTTTTTGTCACCGACCATCGAGATAATCTAATCTCTCAAATTTAAAGAGGATGCAGGTTGCGCCTCCATGACAGAAGACCATCTAATCAGCCAACTCCAAATCTTCATAAATTACAAAACTTGAATTACATCCCTCAATAGAATTTTGAAACAGAACATAAGTATAAGTACTTTCGTTGGCGATGACAGCTTGCATTTTGTACCCTTCTATGAAATATCTCTCTTAATAATGGAATTAGGAAAAATAGAACTTGGCTTTCAACCCCTCAATTTCCAATTATTAAACTAATTATCTGTCTTGAATAAATGAATAACAGTTATTATCATTACTCAAAGGGTTGTTTACTCAATATGAATATGAATATCATTTGATCAGATTTCATATTATCTTCTATATATTAAACAAAGAACTATCTCCATTGCAGGAAATAATAAACAAATTAAAAGGTGAATTCAATTCACAACTAACAAGAAGAAGTCAAAGGATCTTTTTTCGTGGTAGTTGCCAATTAAACCAAATTAATTAACCAACTTCTGTTTAATCTTAATCCATTGCTTGGTCGTATGTTCATGCGTAACCAATCTTTCCCACTGTTCCTATTCCAAAAAGTCCTTTCAGGAGGTCAAACATCATTCTTTTTTACACCTATATATATATCATCATCATCAATCTTCCTCATCTTTCAAAACTCAATCAAGATCCATCCACAACAATCTCTAAATTTCTGGAAATTATACAAAAAATGAAGTTGTCTTTCCCCTGTTCGCAATGTTTCTGCTCCACTTCAGACGATAAGGAGGTCTATAAGAACGAAAAAGGTCAGCATAAGTTTCCCTTTGTATTTCATGCACAAACAATTGAAACTTTTCAAGAATTGATTCGAGTAATGACTGAATCAAGAAGCGAAATCTATAAAAAGAATTTCATGGGTTATTGTTTCTTGACTTCTGGGTGTTTTGATATGTAGTTATATATGATTGTTTCTTGAATTCTGGGTGTTTTTTCGAGAATTTTATAATCAAGAAATGGAAATTGTGAAAAACAGGTGGAGAAAGTCCTTCGAATTTTAGGTTATTTTCTTACCATGACTTGAAAATTGCTAGTGATGGTTTCAGCTCCAAGAATAAAGTCGGGGAAGGAGGATTTGGCTCTGTTTACAAGGTGACTCCCCAATCAATTATATAATTTTTAAATTTTTTTTCTGGATGATTAAAGTAAATTTGGTTTTTTTATAAATAACAAGTGATCATCAATATCTTTTCATTTGATGTTTTTGCATTTCCACCTATATTTTGCTTGCAAGTATCAAATATGATAATGTGGGCTGGTCTAAAACAGTCGTCAACTTTTTTTTTTCTTTTTAAATTAAGTTTGGTAAAGGTAGTCCAATGAATAATCATGTTTGTCTAGATAAAACATACACCATTGTGTACATAAAGTCTATTTATTTTCAAGACAAAATAAGCACTTTGAATGAAACTAATTGACACTTGCATTCCAACAAACCATTTTCACATTATTTAATCAATTATAACAATATCTATCAATTTTAATGATGGATAACTTAGGTGAAAATAATATATGTGAAGGATTGGTGTTCTAATATACTAACCCAACCTTTTTTTTTTTTCGTTTTTTTGCTAAACCAATTAAATCACGTGTTACCTTGATTGTGCAAAAAAAAAAAACAACAATTTAGTAAGGCTCGTTAAGTCAAAATAAAACAACCTTATTATATTGAATTATCAAACTTGTTCACAAGAAAAGAGACTTGGACCTTTTTGGCAAACCGTCTTATAAGTTAGCTTGTAAGTTAGTTTATCAGTAAGTTATCTCAAGTTAGTTTATCAATAAGTTAGTTTATAAACTATTTTATAAATTACAGTAAAATACTTTTATGATTTTATCAAACATTAAATTACAATAAGGTAACTTATTTTTACCAAACAAATCATATGCAATGGAGGGTTGTACGATACAATATGATGATGCATCCATGTAACCATTCATCTCATGCATACAAAGTCCTAGCTAATTTCATGCAAATGTCATTGTATTAGGAGTTTTGGACCACACTTGTAATAATTGCCTAATTTTCTTTAGGCATATTATCAAACGAGTTGCTTTTTAATTTTTAACTTTTTCTGATTTAACAGGGTCGACTTAGAGATGGGACTATCGTGGCAATAAAAGTACTTTCTGTAGAACTGGAATCAATGAGAGGAGAACGTGAATTCATATCTGAAATCGCTGCATTGTCTGATGTACACCACGAAAATCTTGTAAATCTTCATGGCTGTTGTGTCGAAGGAGCCAAACGTTGTTTGGTATATGATTACATGGAAAACAATAGTCTCTCACATCGATTTTTAGGTAATTCTTTTTTATTTTAATTTCACCCCAAACTACACATCAAATTAATACAATTTAATGATAAATTAATACTTAGTTTTGTTGATTTATTAAAGGTGGTGAGCAAAATAGAAATAGTTTTAGTTGGTCAAAAAGGAAGAATGTTTCATTAGGAGTTGCTAAAGCATTAGCATATCTCCATGAAGAAAAGAACCCTTATATAGTACATAGAGATATCAAAGCAAGCAATGTACTTCTAGATCACAACTTTAACCCCAAAGTTGCTGATTTCGGCCTTTCAAGATTATTTCAAGACGACGCCACTCACATTAGTACACGTGTTGCAGGGACACTGTAAGTACTAAGTACTGCTCTGTTTTATCTCAAACCCCAAACATGTCATCTCAGAACCAATTAACACTTTTTTCTTTTTCTTTTCAGAGGGTATTTGTCTCCTGAGTATGCTATTAGTGGACGTTTGACACGTAAATCCGATGTTTATAGCTTTGGTGTATTGCTTCTTGAAATTATGACTGGGCGTCCGGTTGTTGACTTTGATATGGAACATGGTGAACAGTTTTTGGTGGATAAGGTATGGGGTATGTATAATGGTGAGCGATTGGTGGATGTGGTGGATAATGTGTTGTTGAAAGAGGATGATGAGGGGTTGATAGAGGAAGCAGTGAGGTTTTTGAAGGTTGGGTTGTTATGTGTTCAAGAGACCACGAAACTTAGGCCACGAATGTCTGGAGTGATTAAGATGTTGAGTGAAGAGAATAGTGTGGATGGAGTTAAGATTTTTCAGCCAGGGTTTGTGGCTGATCTTATGGATGTTAAGATTAATAAGAAAAAGTCTACTATGAGTTTTTGATTTATGGTTAGTTTATGTTTAGATTTGAGACTAACTTATGTAAAAAGTAATGTAGATTTGTGTAAGTTTGTGGATTGGAATCTGACAAATTGTAGTTAAACCTTTTTTTTTCCTCATCACACACCCGATTCGTGTGAGAGATGAAGAATTCTTTTTATGTGAGATTACAAATATCTCTTTTTTTTTTTATTTTGCCTTTTGTAATTTGTAAAAAGGGGAAATGAATTCCAGATGCGATCCCTACGTATTAATTACCATTTATTTATGATCTGAAACATACATCTAACAGTTTGATCTCATTGTCTTTGCGTACTAAAACAACATACATACACAAATGTTTTTGAGATTGTATAATCCATCAAAACAATGACATCAACACAGAAAATGCTGCATTAATTTATTTATCCCAAAAAAGAGATTAAAAGTAACTAAGCAAAGATTAGATGACATACAAGGATAACAATCCTTTTCAAGCATGTCCAAAAACATAGTCCAAAATGATTCAAATCTTGACACCTGTGACATGGGTCATGAGCATCTTGACAATTTCTGGTGAAACTTTTGCAGCTTGTTTTTTCAAATGATCGATCTTTGTAACTGTCTGTTCATCCAGCCTCTTTACATTCACTCCAGAAAAACCAGTCGACTGCAATCTCATCAATTCATGTAACAAATCAAATGTTAATCATCTCATCATTCATGGATCATCGATCAAAGTTTATAAAAGTTATATATGAGTTTTTACATCTGAGATTATTTTCTGGAATTCTTTCTCCATATTGGCGCGATATTTAGCTACTTCTTCTCCAGCTTCATCTTTTGCTTGCTTTAGTCTATTAAGTTTTGCTGAATACAGAAACCAAAACCCCATGATTCGGTGATACAAAAAAAAAAGATCTTGAAGATATAAAAACTTTACCAGTTCTTGCAGTGTTGACTATTTGTCGGGCTTCTTGTTCAGCAACTAGCAATTGCTGGATTCCACCTTGTCGTCTATAATCTTCCATACCTACATTGTAGATTCGATACTGTAAGTAGTTTTTAACTGATATGGAATATGGTTTGGATGTTATTTATGAAACTGGAAATAGAAATATTGATTAATAAGCGATAGCTCCCAGTTTTCATGTTTAGGAAAAACATATGAATCCATATCAAATTCTGAATCTTAGGATTAGAAAATTAAGAAATCAGTGTGTATCTCTAATCGTAGGTGAAATTATGCACGTCAATTCCCTAAATCAAAACGAACATCATCGTGATCGAGATTCAAATGCAGCGGATCGAATAATCAGGCGTCAATTTATAGCCATTGTTATTCTTTGACATTAATAGATCAAAATGACAGAAACGAATTATTGATGCGAATAGTTTAGCATATGAAAAATGAAAACGTACCTTAATGTTTAGAACAGAGAGTTGCGATCTGGTGGAGAAGATGATGAAATGTCTCCGGGAGAGAGAGAAGGGGGTGTTAGGAAGTTGAGGTTACAGAGACGATGCCGTTAATATTGGGAGCCGGATGACTCTTTCTCATATTTACATTTGAGTAAATTACAGTTTTGGCCCCTCTAGTTTTGTTTAGTGCTTAATTTTTGCCATTCAAACTCAACTACAGAAAAGCAGGTTCGATGTCCGGTTCAACATTTGACATTCCAGTCGTTAAATCTTGGCCTCAAACCAAACCCCAAGATCCACAAGAAGCTACCGAGCTTTTCTGATTTTCAGAAGGAAACACACGAATTTCAAACAAATTAAAAGAAGATTGAGAAGAGACTATTCATTGACATTTTGCAATTGTTGACTTCAAGATAAGCTTCAGTTGGAAAATCAGTTGAACATGGTATTCTTACTATTATTTTTAATAATGGTTAGTTATGCATCTTCATTCTTCAATCCATGTCAAGTTTCCATAGAACATAACTCTATACATAATCTATATCGACCCCTTCACCTTTGAAATATCGTTTTCACTCCAACTACTATAAACAAATCTCATCTACATCCATCAAATTTACCAAAGATAATAAATATAATATTAAATTTGACAAATACGTTTTTCTATTATTAGGGGTATTAATGTAATTTCACATTAAGTCAACTACGGTATCATCTGTTACGAGTTGGTTAGGTGTATGTTAGATTAAAGGCGTATTGTAACAAGTATATATATATATATATAGTATGTAATCCTTTCTTAATCAGTAATGAGAAATTAAGATCATATCTCACATTTCATTTCTGTTCATACAAGTTAATATGGTATCAGAGCGTGCTCTGTTTTTTCTTCGTTCACTAATGACGGCTTTTTGTTCATCAATGGCGAATCTTTGATCTCTCCATTTTAGTTTCTCATAATGCCTTCTTCTTCTACTTCTACAAATCCAATTCTGAATCCTAATTCTTCAAATTCCGATTCCTACAATGATCCGTTTTATCTTCATAATTCGGATGGACCTGGTTAAGTACTCGTTTCTCAAGTACTCACAGGCGACAACTATGCTACTTGGAGTAGATCCATGTGGATTGCTCTTTCAATCAAGAACAAAATTGATTTTGTTAAAGGAAATGTTCTTCCCGAACCTGATTCATCTGATCCAACTTACAGATCTTGGTCTCGAAATAACAATGTTGTTATATCTCGGATTCTCAATTCAGTCTCTAAAGAGATTTCATCCAGCATCATTTATCTTTCTACTACTGCCGACATGTGGAAAGAATTAAAGGAACGATTTCAGCAATCCAATGGTCCACGAATCTTCCAACTCAAACGTGATTTGATGAATTTGACACAAGGATCTGACTCTGTTAGCACTTATTTCACTAAGATGAAGACACTTTGGGAAGAACTCTCCAATTACAACAATAGCTGTATCTGTGGAAAGTGTACTTGTGGAGGTGCAAAGGAGATTGAACATATTATGAGTTTTCTAATGGGATTAAATTCTAGTTATGCTCAAGTTAGGGGTCAAATCTTACTCATGGACCCTATTCCTTCTGTCAACAAAATTTTCTCCTTAATCATTCAAGAAGAAAGGCAATGTAATGTAGGTAATTTGCAAACTCCTACACTTGCATTTAATACTCGTGTTTCAAACAACAACAATGACAACAAATCTACATCTAGACCTAATCAGTCACATAATACATTCAGAAAAGATTCACCATTCTGCATGCACTATAAGAAGACAGGTCATACACAAGACAAATGTTATAGGTTACATGGATTTCCACCAGGCTATAGAACTCAATCTAGTCAATCTCGTGCCAATTCTGTTGATGTTGATCAGTGTCAGTCATCTACACAATCCACTACTACTTCAAATGTTCATGATGCTCTTACTGGACTCACACAACAACAATGTGAAAACCTTATTGCCATGCTATCTGGACAACTTGCTTCTACAAATATGGTGAATGTTTCCACTAATCATGCAACTGTTTCAGAGAATTTAGCAGGTAAATATAGAATTCTCACTCTTAATGCTGGTAATTACTTGTCAAATGTTTGGATTCTTGACTCGGGGGCTACTAGACACATTTGCAATGATAAAGGCATCTTTACAAACATACAATCTATCACTGGAACTAGAGTAAGATTGCCAAATCATAGTCTTATTCAAGTTTATTTTTTATACTATGTCCAAAAGCAATTTAATCAGGATTTGAAAACCCTTCAATGCAACATATAGGAATCTAACAATTTAATTTTATAAATAAAGAATCTAATTTTGTTTTTTTATCCTCATACATCCCGACAATATGGAAAACTCGAGCACATGATTTGGCCAATCAACATGTTGGGATTTTATTAAAAAAATAGTCCAATTATAGAATCAATGCTACGTGATTAGCAACAGAAGTAAGGCCAGACCATTGGTTTTTAATGCCCAGGACGATATAAGAATTTTATACCCTTATATATGTACCGTAAGATAGACAAAATGTTATATAAAAATTGTAAAATCAAAAATGCAAAAAATATTATAATCATACAAAAAATACAAACAAAGCGTACAAAAATCACCTAAAACACTATCTTCATGTATTTTTTAAAGCAAAAACATCTTTTATTATCGATAAAGAAATATAACTGCATTGCTATTATAAGTACGTTGCTATAAAGGATAAAAAGTAATGTATGTTGCTCTAGAGAAAGTAAATGTGACAACCGAAGAAAATACGTCACCACTGTCGATAAAAATAGTGACATGCATAATTGTACTAAGATATGGTTGTAACATTTATTTTGAATTAATAAAGACAAAACAATTTCGTAACTACATACTCGTAAATACGTTGCTGATTAAAGAGTAAAGCCAAGAATTAGGAGCACGAAAAGTCGTAACACCCTACGAAGTGGATAACATATTTGGAAATTACGCATCGACGAGATTCTGAAAATATAAAATTTGTAAAAATCAAACTTCATATGGAGGAAATTTGATTTTTACAGAATATAAAAATCAACTTTGCATAAAAAGTTACAACGTAAAAAGTTACGAAAAGAACGGTTAACTTTTAACTAAAGTTACCAAAAGGAGAATGGTAGTACTCATTGAGATAAGAATTTTGAGGAAAATAACGTCAAAAACGAAACACGTATGAGAGAGTTATGATTTTTATAAAATCATCACGGGTATAAAATATAGGCTAAAAAAAAGTTAGATTTACCCAAAACAACCTAAAGGAGAGTTGTAGTACACGTCGAGACCTTCACATAGGTATAAGAAACGTCAAAAACAGAGCTCGTATGTGGGAGTTACGAAATTTAGAAAATCAATTTACGTCATAAGCACATGTCCCCGTGTCACGCACAACGTGCGTTCTGACGCCTCAATTCGACAAGATACTGATAACGTATCACAACAAGAGGAGACACATGATAGCTCCCTGATGGAGCCACGCGCACACGCACGTCGTGCGACACGTGGAGCAAACTTCAAAACTTCCTATTAGTAGGAGGTGCGGCAAACCATTCCTACACACCTCAAAAACTT